CTATAACCCAACAGCTCTATAGCTCCAGAGCCCCATAGCCCTATAGCCCTCTAGCCCCGTAGCCCCAGAGCCTTATAGTCCTACAGTCCTATAGCCCCATAGTCCTATAGCCCCAAACACATGATGATTGGCGTTTCTCCGGTAACATAGTAGTATGGGGGAACATCGTAGTAGCAGTACTAGTACTAGTACTAGTACTAGTACTAGTACTAGTACTAGTACTAGTACTAGTACTAGTACTAGTACTAGTAGTAGTAGTAGTAGTAGTAGTAGTAGTAGTAGTAGTAGTAGTAGTGGTAGTGGTAGTGTAGTGTAGTGGTGTGGTAGTGGTGGTAGTGGTAGTGGTAGTGGTAGTGGTAGTAGCTGTAGTAGTAGTAGTAGTAGGTAGTAGTAGTAGTAGAGTTGTAGTTGTAGTTGTAGTAGTAATTGCAGTGTAGTAGCTGTAGTAGTAGTAGTAGTAGTAGTAGTAGTAGTAGTAGTAGTAGTAGTAGAAGTAGTAGAAGTAGTAGTAGTAGTAGTAGTAGTAGTAGCAGTCGTAGTAGTAGTAGTAGTAGGAGGAGGAGAAGGAGGAGTAGTAGTAGTAGCAGTAGCACTAGCAGTAGCAGTAGTACTAGTAGTCGTAGTAGTAGTCGTAGTATTAATTGGAATAGTAGTAGTAGTAGCAGTAGTAGTAGTAGTAGTAGTAGTAGTAGTAGTAGTAGTAGTAGTAGTTGTACTGGCAGTAGTAGTAGTAGTAGTAGTAGTAGTAGTAGCAGTAGTCGCAGTCGTAGTCGTAGTCGTAGTCGTAGTCGTAGTAGTAGTCGTAGTAGTAGTAGTAGTAGTAGTAGTAGTAGTAGTAGTAGTAGTAGTAGTAGTAGTAGTAGTAGCAGTGGTAGTGATAGTAGTAGTAGTATTAGTAGTAGTAGTAGTAGTAGTCGCTGTAGTAGTACTAGTTGTAGTTCCCCAATCAGAGCTTGCCTCTGTAGGGGTCCTAGCGAATTCATATGGTTGGGTGAGGCTTGGCGCCGATTTTGGCGGCACGCCCGGGGGCCCTGTAGCCCTATAGCCCTTATAGCCTTACAGCACTATAGCCCTAAAGCCTTATAGCCCTATAGCCCGGGTGCTCGAATGGCCCTATAGCCCTATAACCTTATGGCTTTATAGCCTTGAAGCCATACAGCCTGATTGCCCTGGAGCCATATAGCCATATAGACCTATAGCCCTATAGCCCCAGAGCCCTATAGCCCTATAGCCCCATTGCCTTAAAAAGATGCTGATTGGGGATTGTTCCGGTATCATAGATTGAACGATGGGGCAGACTCATATGTAAATTGCACATCGCCAGGGTGTGCCGATGATTCCGGCTTCGGGGGCATGGTGGAATTATTTGTTTAAGGAAGGAGAGTCTACGTGGCGCACTAGACAGATGCTCGCAAGTACGTTGTCAACTCCACTGCCCAAGTCATCGCCCCGCCCACCCAACCGCCAGTTGGTTTGTAAAACAAACGCGGCGGCACAGTCTGCAGTGACGCGCGGGCGTTGCAGTGCAAGTCGGTGAGTTGGGCGGGCGCGGTATCATGGCGACGTCGACAACGGCAGAAGACATGATGGTAGTGGCGATGCTGTCGACGACGATGACGATGACGACGGCCAGGCGCATGACGGCGCCGATGCTGATCGTGCCGATGACGATGGCGTCCGCGCGTCGGCGATGAAGGACTTGGGAGGATTTCGACATATGCGCGATGTTCGACAGGGATCGCGCCCCCCCACCCCCCCAAGCACGAATGCAAAGGCGTCCGGATGATTTCGACACGCGCGCGCCAGAGGCCCTTTTGGTCGCATTTGGGGAACATGTTGAACAACCAATGGTTTCTTTCGAAATTCGCATGAGCGCGCGCAGGTATTCATATTGATTTGGCAAAGCCATGTGGTTTTACACGATTTCGGGGCATTCGATTTTGAAGCCCTCGCGATTCCCACGGTTTTCTAACGATTCCGGGATGCGCGCGAGATGACGCGCGCGTGCACGTCGTTTTGTTTTTGTTGATATTGCAAGGGGGTTTTGAACATGTATGGTTCTTGATAAACGAGTGCGCGCGCATCGTATTTCTGTTTGCAGGGGTGGGTGGGGGGTCGAACCCTGTTTGGCTGGGATCATACGATTCCATATTTCGAATGGACGATGGGGCAGTATCGTATGTAATTTGCCCATCCCCAAGGGGGAATACCTGGGCAGGTCTATCTTGCCGAACTTGACATTGTTAGCGCCACTCCTCGCGCAATCATCCCACCCACCCGCAACTTGGCTTGCAAAACTCACGCGGCGGCGATTGTCATGATTGTTTCACGCTGGCTCGCGCATTGCTGCGGCCGCGCTAGCGCGCGCAGGCTCGCGCGCAAAGCGGTCAGCCAATCTGGCGTGACCGACGCGGCCGCGGTGGCGCTGGCCGCTTGGCACTTCCCAGTCCGTCTCGCAGGCCACGCTGACGCGCGGGCACTTCAGTGCGAGTCGGTGAGTTGGGCGGGCGCGGTATCATGTCGACGTCGACAACGGCAGACGCGATGATGATAGCAGCGATGCTGTTGACGACGATGGCGATGATAGCGTCAGGATGCACGAAAACGCCAATGCTAATCACGCCGATGACGAGGATGATGATGGTGATGATGGTGATGACGATGATGTGGTCCACGCGCGCGCGAGGAAAGTTTTGGAGGGATGTCGACATGCGCGTGGCACGCGCGCGTGTGGCCCGCATGGTTTTGTTCGACAGGGACCGTGCTCCCCCCAGCACGCGCGCAAGGGTGCCCGAATGATTTTGACATGCGCGATCGAAAGGCCCACCCATTTGATAACATGCAATGAGGATGTTGATTTGGTATTTAAAAGGGGCCGCAAAAAACGCGCATGTAGTTTTTTGTGGGGTGAAAAATGCAACACCATGCGTTTTATATATTTTTGTGACATTCGATGTTGAAATCCTTGCGAACCCAAAAGGTTTTCAACGATTCCAGCATGCGCGTGCGACGACGCCCGCGTGCGTATTTCGTCACATTGTTCGCACGAGTGATTTTTACGCGAAGCTGCGCGCAGAGTTTTTTGCAGAGGATGGTGCGTGGTGGGGGTCGAACCCTGCTTGACAGGGTCGGTACGAATTAATATTGCAGAAAGACGATGGGACAAACTCAAATCTAAAGTGCGCATGCCCCGGGCGTGCCTACCGATGATCCCAGTTTCCGGGTGGTGGTGGGTCTTGTTTTTTCCAGAGAAATGTGTCTATGTGGGCGACGAGGCGTCGACAAGTCTGCGACGGTGACAACATAGCCGCCAGATTGCCACACTGGTCCAGGCGACGGGCGGCGACGAGGTGGCGACGGCCGCCACACCGGCCCAGACGACGGGTGGCAACGAGGCGGCGACGGGGCGGCGACGGCGACAACATGGCCGCCACACCGGCCCAGACGACGGGTGGCGACGAAGCAGCGACGGGGCGGCGACGGCGACAACATAGCCGCTAGACCGCCACACCAGCCGAGCTCCGTAGAACAGAAGTAAGAACCCTGTAGTACAAACATTGTTTTGGGAACGATGAAAAATACAAAAAGCAGGCAGAGGAGCCAGGGCTCCAAAAGGACCAGATCAGAGGAGCGAGGAAGCGCCCTTGCTGCGCCCACAGGTCGGAGAGATCAAGGCGTTCGATTTCGAGCGGGGCCGCGCCAGGGCGGGGATGGCGCTGTCCGGGCGCCCCCACTGCTATTGCAGCAGCTGCTGCTGCAGTTGCCACTGCTTCTCTGTCTTCTCCTGGAGGGCGTAAAGATACAACATCCTGGGGCCCAGGAAGGCCCTCGCCAGGTATGGCGGTGGCACATTGTGGTGTATGGGTGCTGTCTGCGTGCCCTCGATTCTCCTGACACTCTTCCTTTTTTTGTTCTTATCCTCCTCCTCCTCGTCCTCGTCCTCCTCCTTTTCCTCGTCCTCTTCCTTTTTCTCCTCCTTGCTCGTCGTCGTCATCCTCCTTCCTCCCTTTCGTCCCATGTCATCCTCGTCCTTCATCTTATCCCCTCCTAGCCGCGATGTACTGGTACCTGAACGGACTCATCCAGAGGCTGCCTGGGAACAATAGGAATTCATATGTTCCAGAGACCTTGGCGACTCATTGTAACTCGCGACAGCCATTAATAGTTCCGAAGTTGAGTGTTGCGTGTCTTTGGATGCGATCTCGGTCACCCAGAGAAGCTTCGAGTATCGACGGCCGCGGCAGGCATACCTAGATGCAGAGTGAGGCATGCATGTACATACGCGTGCAGCTGTACCCTGCGAAAGAACACATGCAGTCAGTGGCATTATCATGCAGGCGGGCGTGGCAACAAGATTTGCAACTTTCTTCCGCCCTCCCCAGGGCCCTGGTTTACCTGATGCATGCTACTGTTCCCCTGCCAAGTTTGAAATTGCGTCTGCATCCGCCGGAGGCCCTTAGATTGGCGAGAGGGCGCCATACATCATCTGGCCGCTTCCACTGCGATCGGGGCCGCCTCTGGAGTCCAGAAAGAGTTCAGCATGCGCGATGCGAACATTCGAAACAGATATGGGAGAAGCACCCGCCCTCCTGCTGCACTGACTATCAGGGGAGTGGACCCAGTCGCAAAATCCATCGGTCGCGCAGCCCTCGTCTGAATGCCTGCTCTCAGTGAGGAGACGAAGAAGACACAATGGAGTACGTAGGAGCGATGACACGTTGCACTCACACATATTTGTACTTATGTTACGCGTGTGTATTTTCACACACAACATTATATATACATATATATAAACGATGCATGTGTGTATGCTCGCCACCCTCCAGTACCATACCTTGCGCTTGTGCTCGATACCTTTTGCTTTCGCTTGGGTATCCCCTGGCCCTGCTGCTGCCGCTGTTGCTCCTTCTTCTGATGAGGAAGGAGTACATAAAAAAGGAGGAGGAACCCCTATTGACTTCGAAAAATATTCGAATCTGATTTTATCAGAAAAGGAGCAGATTCCAGATCCAGAGGATTCCCATTCAAGTTGTACCGGGTCATGATACGACTTTGCCTCAAGTCATGATGGCTCAACGTCCCAGGATCAAATTTTCAGGATCTCAGGGTCTGGAGTCTCCGTGCCCCGCCTTCCGTGCCGCCTTCCATTGCGATGGTGCGGCCGAATGAGCGTTTGGACATCGGACCCGCAACCAGTACGCCAGAGAAGTTATCGAGACCTCAGAAGCGGCGACGCCGCTTGCAACGATTAGCCGTGCATCGTGCAGCAGAACCTTGCACCAACGATCGCCGCATATCGGAGGACGCTGGCCCCCTTAGATAGAATTGCCCATCGTCTCGAGCGCATCGAGAACATGCTGTCCAAACATCTGCTGTATTTGGCGGTTCCTCAGTAGAGTCCGCCTCGTTCTCTGCATGGGGTATGGTGCGACGATTTGGCTTGTCCATTGCAACATCCAGGACCCCGAATGTGTGACATGGTCGATAAAGGCCCGCCTGTTACGAACATCACTTTGAGTCGCGATGCGGACGAGTTCGTTCCAACAGGACATGGCGAGCAGCTGGGTGATTCCCGATCTGTGCCATCGGGTTTTTGGCACAACCTGCGCGGAAAGGTCAAGGTCAATGGTAAAGGCGTGATGAAGGAACCTTTTGACACATATGGCAGTGCTTCGTCATCTGTTGGCTCTGAAGACCTCGCCCATGAGCGCGACAGCTTGACGATTACCCCGACTGAGCTTGAAACGCTGGTGGAGGACGGGGCTTTGCAACCCAGCGGGCGTTAGGAGGCCAGATATATGGGTACATGTGCTGCATGTGGAGATCGATTAGCTCCAACTTGGTATTCGCATGACGGTGGGCGTCCGCTCTGCCATTGTTGTGTTGATTCAAATTTGCTGCCCGATAGCATGAACGTCGAGTAGCAGCGCGATTCTGCGTTCGACCAGCCAGCGGCTGGCTCTGCAGCGTGTATGTCTCTGTCCCGAACGACGCTTTTTTGTGCCATGACTTGCTCGGGCGCGCCCCTCGCGCACGAATGCATCCTGGATGGCCCCGCCGATGGAGATCAAGATTGGCCCGATTTGGTCGCGAACGAACAAGCTGAGTTTCAAAGTTGCTTCACAGAGCGCTTGCAGCAAAGGGCCAATAGTTTTGTCGTCTGAGATGAGTTCGGAATTTGATGCCGCAGCGACCGCCAGCGAACAGCACGATTGTTCAGCATCTCGGCGCCACGTGTCCCAAGCTAGCCGGCTCAAAGAGCAATTGGACGGTATGCGTGGCGCCGCTGACTAGAGGAGCAACCGTGGGCATCTCAAAGACGGCAGAATAATCATTCCTTGGACTGGCGTGATCGACCACATCGCAACAGTGATCTAGGTAGTGCGCGCGCAGCCGAGCCAATTCACGAGTAGCTTGGTGCAGTAGGTGCAGACACCTTGCATCTAGTAAATACCCTTGCGGTCTGCATGAACCGAAGGTCCCATGCCACAGGAGACATATAGACCTTGCGCGCGCCCAGTAGGGCTGGCGGAAGTCCGAAATAATGGCACTGGGAATTGGAAGTTATCCTAGATCCGGAGGATTTCTATTGACATTGGATGGGTTTCTAAGCAACTTCCAAAAAACAAGAGTCAGATCCCATACCCCAATAGCTTTCTATAAGGTTTGAATCGGGTTCTCTTAGGGTTTTAATAGGAAAGGAGCAGATCCCAGATCCAGAGGCCTATGAGGTTCGAGTAGGATTCAATCGGGGTTCAGTAGAAAAGAGTCAGATCCCCAATCCAGAAAATTCTCATTGAATTTGAATCAGACGCCGAGAGGGCATCAACAGGAAAAAAACAGAGACCATATCCAGGGGATCCCCATCACACCGGGATAGGGTTTTCATCAGCAACAGAAGCGGAGCAACGGAACAGGCCCCGGATCCATATTATTCCTTTGGAGTTGGAGTAGATTCTAATCGGAGATCAACAGATAATAGCTAAGATCTAGACTATCCCTTTTGAATTTGAGTGGGGTTCTACTCCAGCTCCAGATGGAGCAAAGCATATCCCATATCCAGAAGACTCGCGTTAAATTGAATAAGGTTCTAATGCAGGTTCCAGATCCAGGGAATTCCGACGGAATGCAGATATATAGAAATAGCCACGAAAGCAATATTTCAGAACATATAGTAGTATTGTTTTGTGTTTCATGTTATTATTTTGTCTTACCAATTCGCTGTCCTCCTCCTTCTCCTCATTTGCCCTCTCGACCTCCGCGTGACCTTTCCTCCTCCGTCTCCGTTCCCGCCGTTTTTCCGCATGTGTTTTGTGTTTCCTCCTCCTGTTTCTTCCGCTGCTGTTGCTGCTCCTTCATATACATATAACGGCGCACCGGGTCCGGGCGCCCGGGGCCGGCGCCGCTACCACAAATGTGGGCCCCGGGGCCCTCGGGGAGCCCCGGGGCCTGGCAGAAGGCCGCCAGAAGGCGCCAAGGAGGCCCCAAGAGGCTCCAGAACAGACCCGGGACGCCCGAAGATCGCTCCCAGACGCCCAACATGGCCTCCAAGGCGGCTTCACAAGCCGCCCAGACACCCCATGCGACCTCCAATAGGGCCCCAAAGAGAGCCCCAAGGGGCCAAAATAGCTCCATTCCCTTCGTAAAACGTATATGTTTAACATATTGCTTGTTTTCGCTGTCGGTCCGGCCCAGGACGCGCCCCAGAGGGCTCCAATACAGCCCCAGAGAGCTCCTGGACGGCCCACGAAGGGCCCAAGACGGCCGCAAATGTGGGCCCCGGGGGCCTCGGGGAACCCCGGGGCTTCACAGAAGACCCACAGAAGGCGCCAAGGAGGCCCCAAGAGGCTCCAGAACAGACCCAGAGCTCCCGAAGGTCGCTCCCAGACGCCCAACATGGCCTCCAAGGCGGCTTCAGAAGCCCCCCAGACACCCCAAGCGACCCCCAATAGGGTCCCAAAGAGAGCTCCAAGGGGCCCAAATAGCTCCATTCCCGTCGTAAAACGTCTAGTTGCTTGCTTTCGTTGTGGGTCCCGACGAAGACGCGCCCCATGCAGAGGGCCCCAATACAGCCCCAGACAGCTCCTGGACGGCCCACGAAGGGCCCAAGACGGCCGCAAATGTGGGCCCCGGAGCCCTCGGGGAGCCCCGGGGCTTCACAGAAGACCGCCAGAAGGCGCCAATGGGGCCCCCAGAGGCTCCAGAACAGACCCGGGACGCCCGAAGGTCGCTCCCAGACGCTCAACATGGCCTCCAAGGCGGCTTCCGAAGCCCCCAAGACAGCCCAAGCGACCCCCAATAGGGCCCCAAAGAGAGCCCCAAGGGACCAAAATAGCCCCATTCCTTTCGTCAAACGTATATGTTTAACATATTGCTTGTTTGCGCTGTCGGTCTGGCCCGGGACGCGCCCCAGAGGGCCTCAATATATTATACAGCCCCAGAGAGCTCCAGGACGGCCCCAGAGGGCCCCAAGACGGCCGCAAATGTGGGCCCCGGGGCCCTCGGGGAGCCCTGGGGCCACAGAAGGCGCCAAGGAGGCCCCAAGAGGCTCCAGAACAGACCCTGGACGCCCGAAGGTCGCTCCAAGACGCCCAACATGGCCTCCAAGGCGGCTTCAGAAACCCCCAAGACACCCCAAGCGGCCCCCAATAGGGCCCCAAAGAGAGCCCCAAGGGGCCAAAATAGCTCCATTCCCTTAGTAAAACGTATATGTTTAACATATTGCTTGTTTTTTCGCTGTCGGTCTGGCCCAGGACGCGCCCCAGAGGGCTCCAATACAGCTCCAGAGAGCTCCTGGACGGCCCACGAAGGGCCCAAGACGGCCGCAAATGTGGGCCCCGGGGCCCTCGGGAGCCCCGGGGCCTCACAGAAGACCGCCAGAAGGCGCCAAGGAGACCCCAAGAGGCTCCAGAACAGACCAAGGACGCCCGAAGGTCGCTCCCAGACGTCCAACATGGCCTCCAAGGCGGCTTCAGGAACCCCCCAGACACCCCAAGCGACCCCCAATAGGGCCCCAAAGAGAGCCCCAAGGGGCCAAAATAGCTCCATTCCCTTAGTAAAACGTATATGTTTAACATATTGCTTGTTTTCGCTGTCGGTCCGGTCCAGGACGCGCCCCAGAGGGCTCCAATACAGCCCCAGACAGCTCCAGGACGGTCCACGAAGGGCCGAAGACAGCCCAAGAGAGTGCCCAAGACGGGCCCGAGAGGGCCCCAGAGGAGGAAAGCCACCATCGAATTCCAAGCTTTCGACCCCACGGTGGCTCCAGGAGGCGCCCAGAAGCCCCCAAGAAGCGCCCGGAATGTCTCCCAAAAGCACCCCAAGACGCTCCAAGAGGCAGAGCTCCAGGAAGCAAAAATCGTCCGATTCCTTTTGGGAAAGCGTATATTTTTCGTATGTTCGCCTGTTGGGCTGTCATCGCATCCAAGACGGCCCAAGGGGTTCCCATGACGGCCTAAGAGGGCTCCAAAAGAGCTCCAAGACGGGCCACGAGAAGCCCAGGACGGCCCAATGGGTCCCCAAGACGGCCCAAGAGAGCCCCAAGACGCGCCCGAGAGGAGTCCCAGAGAAAGAAAGCCACTCTCGAATTCCGAGCTTTCGGCCGATACGCCCCCCAAGAGGCCCCAAGCAGGCCCCCCAAAGCACCCCAATATGCTCCAAGAGGCACCCCAAGAGAGCCCCAAGAAACTAAAATCCGTCCATTCTTATGGGAAAACGTATATTTTTCGCATGCTCGCCTCTTGGGCTGTCACCGCATCCAAAACGGGCCAAGCGGCCCCCCAAAACGGCCTAGGAGGCCCCCAACAAATTTCCAAGACGGCCTACGAGGAACGCAAAACGGCCCAATCGGCCCCCAAGACGGCCCAAGAGAAACCCAAAAAGCGCCCGAGAGGGGTCCCAGAAGAAGACAGCCACTTTCGATTTCCGAGCATTCGGTCCCAAGAGCCCCCAGGATGCGCCGATAGGCCCCCCAGAGGCTCCGAGAGAGTGCCCAAGACGGGCTCGAGAGGGCCCCAGAGGAGGAAAGCCACCATCGAATTCCAATCTTTCGACCCCAAGTGGCTCCAGGAGACGCCGAGAAGCCCCCAAGAAGCGGCAACAGCGTGAACGCAGATCTGAACAACGTGATGCACGCCACGTGAAGGATTGTCCACCGGCGACGACTGCATTTGTGGGTCGAGTATGTCAATACCAACTACAACCCGGTGGACAAGGCCAGTCGAAGGTGTACGGACGACCTCTACGACCAAGGCTGGGTGTGGGACCCGCCGGGCGATCTATCATTTTTTGCGACCCGCCGTGGGACCTGCACTTCGTCCCCGGGCAGCAACACGACCGAATACATGTCTTTGCCCTTGCATAAATTATCCCAGCACGACCCTACCTAGGAGTTGGAGCCCCTAGGAAAGCAGCATAGTAGTAACAGCGAAGCTAAGCTAAAGCTAAACTACAGCTAAGCTAAAGCTAAGCTAAAGCTAAGCTGAAGCTAAGCTAAAGCTAAGCCAAAGCTAAGCTAACGCAGAGCTAAGCTGAGCTAAGCTAAGCTAGGCTAGGCTAAGCTAAGCTAGGCTAAGCTAAGCCAAGCCAAACCAAGCCAAACCTAGCTAAGCTAAGCTAAGCTAAGATGTTACGTTATAAGCTAAGCTAAGCTAGTATGACATACTATGAGCTAAACTAAGCTAAGATAAGCTGAACTAAACTAAGCTAGACAAGGCTAAGCTAAGCTAAGATGATATGAGATGATAAGCTAAGCTAAGCTAGGCTAGGCTAAGCTAAGCTAAACTAAGCAAAGCTAAGCTAAGCTAAGTTAAGCTAGGCTAAGCTAAGATGAGATGAACAACGCAAAAGCTCAGGGGACGTCACTGGGGGAACCGCGGGGCGGGGACTGGGGGGACCGCCCGGGGCGCGTTCCACTGCCCGGCCCCTTTAAGCTAAGAGAGTAAGAACACTCTAGGCAGAGCCTAGGGAGGGAATGTGGGATAATTATCCCAGTGCGACCCTACCTAGGAGTTGGAGCCCCTAGGAAAGCAGCATTAGTAGTAACAGTAAAGCCCAGCTAAAGCTAAGCTAAAGCTAAGTTTCAGCTAAGCTAAAGCTAAGCTGAAGCTAAGCTAACGCTAAGCTAAAGCTAAGCTACATCTAGGCTAACGCTAAGCTAAAGTTAAGCTACCGCTAAGGTAACTATACGATGTAGCTAAGCTAAAGCTAAGCTACAAGCTAAGCCAAAGCTAAGCTACAGCTAAGCTAAAGTTCAGCTAAAGCTAAGCTAAAGTTAAGCCAAACCTAAGCTACAATTATGCTAAAGCTAAGCTAACGCTAAGCTAAGGCTAAAGCTAAAGCTATGCTAAAGCTAAGGTAGATCTAAGGTAAAGCTAGGCTAACGTTAAGCTGCAGCTAAGCTAAAGCTGAGCTAAATCTAAGCTAAAGCTAAGCTAAAGCTAAGCTAAAGCTAAGCTAACTCTAAGCTAAAGCTAAGCTAAAGCTAAGCTAAAGCTAAGTTAAAGCGAAGCTAAAGCGAAGCTAAAGCTAAGCTAAAGCTAAGCGAAAGCTAAGCTAAAGTTAA